CATATATTTATATATATTTATATCAATATTTCTATTATATATATAGATTATATATGCATATATATATATATATCTATTTATTTATTAATATACGTTGATCTGTTGGCTGCGATTTGCTCTCTTTATTGCAGTTTCCCCCAGAAGAGTTAAAAGAAAATAATGTTAATAATAATAATAATAATAATATCAATAATAATATTAATAATAATAATATTAACAGCTGCAGCTGCATAGAGCAGAGCTGTTGTACATATTCTGCAAGGAAGCTGCAAACAATGAGGAGTTTCTGAGGTAAGATGAATAAAATATATAATTAAATAAATTATATTTATTAGAAGATAATTATTAAGTTTAATTTTCTTGCTTGTGTTTACGTAGAGACGGCCGCTCAAAGTCATGGGCCCCTTTAACCCCTGAGAAAAGCAGATAAAATATATATAAAATATAATATTTACAAGCAAATGCGGCATAGACAACCAATCAATATGCTTATCTCTCACAACAAATGCTTATTTTAAAGTAATACATCTATGCATGCAGCAAACAGCAGCAAAAAGAAGATGTTTCACACAACACCAGACGCATGCAATGCAAACAGATAACAGAAATATCACAATTCTAAAGCTGTATACCCGCATGCAAAGATGCATGCAAAGATGCATGCAAAGATGCATGCAGAGCTGCATACATAACTGCATGCATCCTTGCAAGCATAGCTGCATCCATAGCTGCATACATAACTGCATGCATGCTTGCATGCATAGTTGCATGCATAGTTGCATGCATAGTTGTAAGCAAATATGCATGGAAGTATAGATAGAAAGATAAAGAAAGGCGCGAGTTTACCTGCAGCTTTCTTAAGAAGTTTCTGTCCCTGCAGATCCCTCATAGCCTGCATCCAAGGATGCGATAAGTCCGATGTATCAACGTCCACCAGATGCGTATGCTTCGTTCGCCCTCCTCTTGCAAGCTCGCCGCGACGCAACTGCAGTATCTTCGGTAAAGCCTTCTTATCCACAGCGTCTTCTCTGCACATATACATATATATATATATACATGTATAAATAAATAAATATATATATATATATACATATATAAATAAATAAGTATATATATATATATGTACATATGTATATGTATGTATATGCGAATGAATATAATATTATAATTATAGATGAATATACTACTATAATTCTAAATGAATATAATAATATAATTAAGAATGCATGCAATAGTATATATATATATATATATATATCATACCCAACAGGTGCGTTAAAGTCGCGAAGGTATATCGGTTCTTCGCCGCTGCGAGCCAAATCTTGAAAGAATGCACCCTGAAGAAAAACAAAGAAATAATCTAAATTAACAAATTAATAACAACAATCTTCGCTATACATGCATGCATGCATGCATGCATGCAGCAAATGCAACAGATGCAGCAAATGCAGCAAATGCATGCAGCAAATGCATGCAGCAAATGCATGCAGCAAATGCATGCAGCAAATGCATGCATGCATAAAGAAGAAGGCCTTATAAAGTGGAAGAGAATAACAAAGGGTGCAGCAAAGAATGATGGCGATGCATGCACTAGCTGCTTCTGGCTGCCTGCTACACCTGCTGCTGCTGCTGCTGCTGTTGCATGCACAAACAGCTTCTGTTTGCATTTTCTGCTGCAACCACTACCACTACCGCAACCGCTGCTGCTGCTGCTGCTGCTGCGACTGCTGCTGCTGCTGCTACTACTGCTGCTGCTGCTGCTATAACTACCACAACCGGAACCGCTGCTGCTACTGCTACAGCTGCTGCTTGTGTGTATAAATGCAGTGTTGTTGAAAGCCAAAATATATATAAATAAATAAATATAAATATATTTATATTTACCCTATGATAGTATTTCTGCATGAAGTTATATTTATGTCTGATTTCTCTCTTTGGCTGCATCTTATCGAGCTCTTTGTCGTCTTCTCTTCGTTCTTCTGCTGTCATCTGTCGTCGCCGCTCCACCGCTTCCAGCTAAACAGAAACAAATTAAAATAAAATAAATAAAATAAATAAAATAAATAAATAAAATAAATAAATAATTATATTCTATTTTATTATATTCTAGATTTCATATGCTTATCAAAGGGCGTCTTATTCACACAAATTTTAGTGTGCAGAAAAATACAACCAGATACACCCAAATCATACAAACAATCAAAGGCCTATATAATAAATAAATATATATGTAATAAACGTATAATATATATATATATTATATAATATAATTACATAAATACATAGAAAACCTTTATGCGTATATATATTTATCTATATAAAATATATATATATATGAATGCATATAAATGTCTATATATATATATATATGTTTTAAATGTATGCATATAATGTATTAATTTATAGACTATATATACGCCAAACAAGGAATGCAAAACACAGAGGCGAGCATCAGCAGCAAACGCATGCAACAGCAGAAGCAGATCAAGCAGCAACACAA